GAGGCCTTTGAGATTGCAGTCAAACATCGTCGTCATTTCATCGCTACACAACCAGTCAAACATATCGGTCTTAATTTTCGGTACCACCACCGACAAAATAGGCAGTGCTTCACCACCAGCTTCGCGATGCTTCCGCCGAACAAAAATTAGGGTTGCTCTTGATGAGTTAACAGCTCGAGCAGAGGTGGAGGATAGGCTTTCCAGTGGGCTCATCGAGACAAGAGCATTTGCGACAATTCATTTGAATACATCGGCGAATTTGATTGTGTTTTCTGCTTGGATGTAGATTATGGCCATGGTTTTCACGACGACTTCAGGGTAAGATCCGGTGGCGGTTTCGCCGCTCAGCATGACACAGTCGATTCCAACCATGATCTATAGTAGGGCTTTGTTACCAAGTTGTGTTTTGCAAAATCATTGGGAAACAGAGGGTGATGATTGGAGCTTGAAAGTTGAAACAGGGGTAGGGTTAGTCGGTATGTAAACGGTAGTGATGTATGTGTTTGTGTGTGTTTATGTGTTCCATTCTACAGTTCCCCAAATTTGACTATGGTAGCTGACATTGTGAACTTTACAAGGGACTAAAAAGACAGGTCATTTCACGATTTATTCATTTAAAAGGCACGAAAAAAAAAACTTTAAGGACTTGGTAAAGTCGAAATACATAGTAGAGCCGTTGCATCATTTTCCCTAATTATTATTCCTTAAATTTTACCATCTTTAGGAAATTGTAACGGAATTAATTTCTAAAAAATGTAATTGTTATTCTATATAAGTTTTATAATTTTAATAAATAAATAACATCATGTAATCTTTTAACTCAACACACTAGTTATGAAACCGGTTTTCTCATTATTTATTACATTAATTAAATATTATATAAACACAACCTATATATTATTCTACATAAGCTTTATAACTTTAATAAATAACATCATCTAATCTTTTAACTCAACATTAGTTTTGTAATCGGTTTTCTTAGGTTGCAAAATATTGATTTAACCAATACGATATTATAATGGTTTATCAAATATATATAAAAATAAAAAAATAAAAAAGTGGTTTTTAAATATCAAATGATAATACGTTGAGTTTTCTCTTTATTTATTACGTTAACTTAATATGATATAAACACAACAAATTTTGAAAAAATAATTAATAAAATACAAAAACAAAATCACATTTTTATGTTCTTTTTAAAAACATACAAAAAAATTGTCTTAAATTAACTACGATATAATTATATTTTGTATTTTATGTATATAAAATATAGACCCGGCATAGTTGTATTTATACTTTTGTTTGTTTGTAATATTTTATATATGATGTTTAAAAAATGAATAATTAAATGAGAGTGGTTTGTGGAACATTTTAGATTGATGAGGATAAGTTTGTTTAAAAAAAAACTATTATAAACAATTAAAAATTGAAGAAGTCATCTTATTAGAGGTTAAAGTTAGAGAAATAATAATTTGTCAGATATTTAAGTCATAGAATATATGTAACCATTAGAGATATTCTAATTGCAAAAATTGGTGTGATATATGTAAAACATTGCCTTGATGTTGATGGTTTAAGATTTTCTTGAATGAAAATTAAGGGAAATATGATATGGACATTAAACCGGAATATATTGTTCAAGAGTGGACAACGTCCATGTAAACTATTTTGAATCAACTTAAACTTCGGGATCGGGCCTCGGCTTTTAGAAGAAAACTAAGAGGTGGGGATGAGCTTTTCAGTATACAACTTTTAGAAGTAGTATTGATACGATCGTGCTGGATGATCCAGAAAGATGGTTGGAGATGGTCCATGGACGGTTCTACAGAGTTGACGATCACATCAGCTCGTGCTATTATTGATAATCATACATTGGTGGTTGATGGTGATCCGAAGAGATGAAATTGGCTTAATATTTTTATTTTATTTTTGTAGAGGCTTGTTCTGAATAAAATTTCATCTCGGGTGAACTTGGATAGGAACATTGACTCGGTGTTGTGGTTGTAATGTCGAGACTGTCAACCATCTGTTTTTCTCCAGTGAGATGACTTCTACTTTATGTATATTGGTCACGTGGTGGGATTTAGATCTTTCTGTTTTGTCTAGTTTTACTGAGCGGGCAGGTTGGATGGCATTTCTGAAGGTTACAATTGATGTCAGATTTCGCTTGGATGCAGTGGGAACCACGATTATGTGATCCGTTTAGAGTCATAGGAATCAATTTGTTTTTCAAGTCTTAAGATGCATCTGAAGGTGGTTTTGTGGGATTTTGTTGTTTCGCAATCATTTTTTTTTTTTTGAATTACTGCTAGTAAGTCTATGTTATGTATTAATTGCATAGATTGACCAAATGGCCTTTGGCCTAGCGGTATCAAAAAGTTGGAAATGTTTTTCTTCTCTAAAGGGTTGAAAGTTCAAGTCTCGTTATGGACATTGGAGTAGTTTAGGAGTAAGATTTAGTAAGTATGTGTGTTAACCGTTAAAAAACAAAATTGATAGATTGGTTGCAAATTCCTAATAGGACTATTTCTTCCCTGTAATTTCCAAGCTCTTTGCTAATTTTCTATAAGATTACCACCGTTCTAAAATGTTTATTATTATTATTATTATTAGTGGTGATTTTTAAGTATACGACAGAAAATATGAAGGCTTTTCTACTAAAAAAAATAATGACTTTTCAAGCAAAAAGCTAAAATTATGAGTTCTTTTCTATAATTTACCTTATATGCTTGTTTTATTGAAATTTATTTATCTAATGAAAAATCAGTATTCTCGACGTATGATGCTTTCAATCCACACCTAATTTCCTACCAAACTACCAAACATTGCCAAAGCACCTCACATAATCGTACCCTCTATTGCCACGTTTGTTATAGCGTCAACAATTGAAGGTTTTTTGCAAGATCAAAAATAATGATTTTACCAAATAATGTATTTTTTTTTATCATTCGGAGTATAGTTTTTTGGATCAATATTTATCAATCACATAAATTTTATTAAATGTTTTTTTAGTTTTTTTGTTTTATATAATTAACTATATTCATTCAATAATATTTCATTTTGCCTCTTTAATTATATATGACCCTTAAATATAACTATTTTATTTAATGTTATTGTTAAAAGTATTCGAGTTATGTAATGAATTTATTTATGTACTGCTTTTTTAAAAGAAAATATTACATATACTTAAAAAAGTAACAAATTTGATGATAGGACTTCAAATTTTCATAGAAACATGGATAAATTAGTTGAATAAAATAAATTTGATCAATGGTTGAAGAACGCTTGTTTATAATAGGTTTTTCTTAATTTAATGTTGTTGATGCTCTTACATATGGCATGTTGTCATATGTTTGATTATTTGATTGATTTGCATCCTACTAATACCCATGGGAAGTGGATACTAAGCGTGAGCTTGACATTGTAGCCAAAAGTATCGAAATCAAAAATATATGATTTTGGGAATGATGTACTATATGGTTTCGGTTTGAAGCTAGTACTTACTGATCATTTGTGTGCAATATTTATAGCTATGCAACTCAAAATAAGTTATGAATAGATTATGGTAAGAAAAAAAAAACAAATCTAGAAAATTAAGTTTTCAAATACCAATTTTTGTAGCTATGCAACCCAAAATAAGTTATCTAAATCGTTTGATTTTTTTAGCCATGTAGCCAAAACAAAGAAGATTATATTGGAAAAATAAATAACCCAATCTGAATTCATGAGTGATTTATTGATGAGATTTATGAGCGACGAAGGTTGAAGAAAACGTTTTCAAATGTCCATGTTTAAGGCCATGTAACCCCGGCTATAATGAGTTTTTTTATTTAATTAATTCATAAAGTTAAATAATTAACATGTTTAAGAATAATTTAAATTAACAAAATATGTTTACAAAATAATTTATGAAAATATCAAATTAGCAATATTAAAGATCTTTACAACTTTATAACTTGCATATAGAATTTTCTGATGTTTATTGCTTTTTATATCTTTTTGTAATCATAATTGTTATTCTAATTGATAATAATATCAAAATATGAGTAATATCAAGAACGGGCTTTGATAGTATTGGTTTTGCAGCAAGATCAAACATAATATTGTATGTAGGATCATACGATTGTATGTACAACGATCCGACCTCACATTTTTCTTAATTCATTATTTACTTTCTAAAAATGAAAACTCCAAAGTATTTCCTAACACTCGAAAATTAATCTTACATATATTAGTATAATAATCCAACACATGTCGCAATTCGCAAACTGAAAATGATCCTAAATAAAATCCCAACCTTGACAACTATGAATAAACTAGCAATATTAAATAGTTTATAACTAGTTTTTTTAATAATTTATATTAATATATTCTATTATGAACTGTGATATCTATCATATAACTTATCATATTTGTTGCTTTACAATTAAAGAATGTTCACATGTAATTTGTTTTGCAAGCGCACATATTTTTCTAAGGAAACATCACAAATCCTAATTTTTTAAACACTTAATCATTTATTTACATGATACTCATATAACTAGAATGCTCAAGGAATCTTACCTGTAAATTAACATATCTCAATTTCACCATGATAAAAGAACACACAGTTGACCACCCTCATCTGTACTCCATAGTCAACTCATCGACATCTGGCTGCTGTCTGGCTTAATAAGCTGACCTAATCAATCAATTTCAAGAAAAAAAAAAAAGAAAAAAAAAAGGAAAAAGACCAAAAAAAAAAAGGGAAAAAAGACAAGTAAGGTATAGGCAAACACTAATGCCTTGTAAACAATTTTTTTAACAGACTAATAATAATAATAATATTCGTTAATAGAAGACACTTGAGTTAAAAGTATTATCATCACTACCTAATGATTGAGGTAGTAATAGGACAAGGACATACATTCATTCATCTCATTAAGAAGTTGATTAAGTCGCTAAAAACATTCCACTTCAGACTCTCCAGAGATGATTCACATTCATTCATTCAGACATTTTCAAAACCTGCAAAACAAAACAAACAACACATTTTATTCTTCAACTCTACACTTCCCAAATCATCGGTCAACTTAACATTCTGACTTCCTCCTCAGCTGCCACGTCATCATTATAATTATACTCCTCCCCACTTCCACCACAAATCCCATCATCCTTTATTAAAATATCCGACTCCCTATAACGCTCCGGTGTCCCCTCACCCGCCCAATCGCTCCCTCCCCCCTCATGATCCACATTGTTCAATCGGTTATCTTCTGCTGACTTTGACTTTGACCTTGACCTTTGACTTTGACCGTCTTCTGTGTTTTGATCTTTGTTCATCCGAACGATGGCGCTTGACATCCGGAGATGCTGACCTGGACTGCCTTCTACCATGATACTTTGACTTTGACTTTGACTTTGATTTATCCCTTGACGTTGACCGTTTTCTGTGCTTTGACTTACCACTCGAACGGTGTTTACCCTCTAAAGATCTTGACCTTCCCCTATCATGACGTTTTGACTTTTCCTCCCGATTGTTTGACCGATGTTTGACTTCTACAGATGCTGACCTGGAACGCCTCCTTTCATGGCGTTTTGATCTTTCCTCTTTACTGTCATCTATCTTATCGTTTGACCGATGTTTGACCTCCACGGATGTTGACCTGGACCTTGACCGCCTCCTGTGTTTTGACCTTACCTCCCTATTCTCATTAACCTTATCGTTTGACCGATGTTTGACTTCTAAAGATGCTGACCTGGACCTGGATCGCCTCCTACCCCGCCCTTTTGATCTTTCCTCCTTAATATCATGTTTGACATCCACAGATGCTGACCTGGACTTTGACCGCCTTCTATCACGCCCTTTTGACTTTTCTTCCTTACTATCATTAACCTTATCGTTTGACCGATGTTTGACTTCCAAAGATGCTGACCTGGACCGCTTCCTATCACGCCCTTTTAATCTTTCCTCCATTTTATTGTTTGACCGAGGTTTGACTTCCAAAGATGCTGACCTGGACCTTGACCGCCTTTTATCACGTCCTTTTGACCTTTTCTCCTTCCTATCATCCATTTTATCGTTTGACCTAGGTTTAACTTCCAGAGATGCTGACCTGGACCTTGACCGCCTCTTATCACGCCCTTTTGACCTTTCCACCTTCTCATCTGACCGATGTTTAACTTCCAAAGATGCTGACCTGGACCTTGACCGTCTCCCATCACGCCCTTTTGACTTTTCATCCTTAACATCATCAATCTTATCGTTTGACCGATCTTTGACTTCCAAAGATGCTGACCTGGACCGTCTCCCATCGCGCCCTTTTGACTTTTCCTCCTTAATATCATCAATCTTATCGTTTGACCGATGTTTGACCTCTAAAGATGCTGACCTGGACTTGGACCGCCTCCTATCAACCATCTTCTCATTTGACCGAGGTTTGACCTCCAAAGATGCTGACCTGGACCTGGACTTGGACCTAGACGTAGACCTAGACTGCCTTCTGTGTTTTTCCTTACTTTGCTCATCACGTGAAGATTTCTTCGGGCTTTTGCGAGGGCGTTTTGGGGATTCTGAAGATTTTCTGCCACGCGGACTTAAACTTCTGCTTCTATTTCTCCAAGAATGGCGGCTGTTGTTGTATTCTCGTCTCCTGTAGCGGTCATTACCACCCCTAAATGTCCGCCTGTCATATTCATAAGTTGAGTAGTGGCGGGACCTTATTGGTGACCTGGATCTGTAACCTCTTATGCGGCGATGTGGAGGTGAAAAGGAGCGGGACCTACGTCTTCTTTGGTATATCACAGGAGACTTTGACTTTGACCTTGACCTTGTGGGGACTGGAGAAGGTGACCTACAATACAAATACTCTGATTCATCAGCTATGATCATAATCATGGTAAAATAGTTCACAATCATTAAAAATTAATGTTAGCTTGTAGAGATTTAACACCAAATTTGAAGTAAAAAAGAGCTTTGGTGTTAACCATATTTGGTTATTAATACCTTGGATTTTTAACTGATTCATCTTCATTTCCAATTATCCCTTCAGCTTTCAACTTCATACTAATTTCAGCAGCTCTAGCAGCAGCCAATTCAGTTGCACTCTTCATAGTTGCTGCTCGATTAGCTGCTTGTTGTGCATTCATAGTTTGTTGCATCAAAAGAGCCTGTTGAAATTGCATTTGTTGCATAGCAACAGCTTGCTGCATCACCATTGGCAAAGAAGATGAAGAAACTGCAGGCTTTGAGGGAAGTGATTTTGCCATTTCAACATTCATTGGGCGCCCTAAAACATCCATGTTATTTAATGCAAGTGCAGCTGTTGCTTCTTCAGGTTTTGAATATTCTATGTATGCAAAATGCTTAGATTCTGTGATACTACAGTCAATAACTGTGCCACAAAAACTAAAAAACTGTTTTAGTTGTTCTGCAGTGAGTAGTGGGCTGAGGTTACTAACTTGGAGTGTTTTCTTTAAAGAATCGGCTTTTGCTGCCTTATCTTCTGCTACTGCCAAAAGAACAACAAAGTTTAGAAAGAATATTGATTTAAGGACTTGTAAGTCATGTAAAGATTATTGTACATTTCGTAAACTGTTGCAAAACTGTTCATATTTTGCGAAATAATGTAAGTTTGCAAAAAAATGATGTTTTTTTGCAGCCTTTTGTCAGTAAAAAGTAATTTTGCAACTTTTTTGGAATTTCAAAATTGACCCAATGCAAAATTGATGGTCTATGTGTCAAAAAGGAGGTCAATGTGTTAGATGTCACAACATATGGTGGTCATGATTATCCCAAAAATGAATTTTAAATCAAGGAAATGATAAATAAAATAAAGTAATGAATGAGTAAATTACATGTTAACAATGAAAACATGAGAGTAATAGCTAACAAATCAAAAAGGAGAGAGGAGGGGGGGGGGGGGGGGGGGGGGGGGGGGAACTGAAGAGGAGATCTTTGTTTTAGATTTAATAAGCTTCTGGTAATAAAGTTTTAAAAGACAAAGATTCTACTAATTTAACAACATATAGAATTCAAGTGACCGTTTTTATTAACAGATGATATGATCAGAAATCTAATAGGGAAACCCTAGTCACAATAGAGACCAAGTACGAATAAGGGAGTAAAGGGATGGATTCTAAAGATTGAAAATAGTGATTGAATTCAACAAAGTAAAAGCCAAGAAAGTATGTACCAGTAGTTTCTCTAGAAGCGTGCGCTTGTGCACTTGAAGCATGTGCTTGAAGCGCTTGAGCAGCAACAATAGCCTGTGCAGCTGCCATTGCAGCTGCAGATGGTGCCATTGGTGCTTGACTAAGTGTTCCCATGGTGCTTGTAGAAGCCAAAGCAGTCATCAGCAGATTGTGTGGAGGGTGACCCAACTTGCAATCAGTTTTAACACAACGCCCACTCAGATACTCTCTGCAAATTTCCCCAAGTGATGCTCCAATTCCAGCCAAAACAACCCCACCTGATGAACTCGGAACAATCCCAGGAATCATTCCAAGAAGTCCTGGAAATGCCCCTGAAACAGAACCTGAGTAATTTGGCATGTTTGGCATGGTCTGGTTAACCATATTTGGGAAATTCATCTGTGGAGCAAAACCCAGAAGCCCTCCTGTAGTTATACCTGCGCTAAAGAAAACTGGAAATGGACTACCCATGATAGACTTCCCATCACACTCAACATCCAGCATGTAGTTTCCTCTTTTAGGAACCACATAGGTAACTGTATAGGTCCCATCACCCATATCTTTGACAATCCCTTCTTGTTCGGACCCTCCAACACCAACTCCTGGAGACACCTTCACCTTCACCTGGGCTCCACCATGGGGAACTTTCCGACCATCTGAATCCTTTGTAACCACCACAAATGAAGAAGGTGCACAAGCAGTTCCGCCAGCAACACCAGTCCCAGCGGCCGTGCACTTGGTGGGGTCCACAGGGCCTATAGGCTTGTTAGTCAAGTCTTCTTCTTCATCGCCATCACTATCTGATAAAGGAGCAGGCTCTCGATTCTTCTCAACGTCCTTGAAGGTAGCCTCGAAGGCAGCTTTAGCCGCCGCATCTTTCTCAGCTTCGCTCTTTATTTTTGCCTCTTCTGCTTGCTTCATCCATATTGGCTTCACAACGGCCAAGTTACGATCAGCCATATATACCCCAAACCACGAATTACGATCCTGCTATCCCCAATCCTGATATAAAATCAACGAATCGATCAATAACAACCGATAACGAGCCAATAAGTTCTAAATTTGATGTTTTCAAGTTAAGTTACTATCTATTAATCTGAAATCAATTTCACCAATTCAAAACCCTAACCCTAACACAAAGCGAAAATGTTGCATACATAAAGTGGAATCAATGATAAATTTTAAGCTACATATAAATGAAATACGCACACACACGAATAACGTATAGGTTGAGATAGAGGTAGAAACATACGGTGGTTGTGGCGGACGACGGCGGGGATACTCTTTAAGAATAGTGGTTAGAAGATTACTCGTACGGGGTCGAGATCTTTTGGGGGAAGAGGATATTGGGGCCGCGTTTGATTCGTTATGTTGTAATATTTCAAATCACACCCATGTATTTTCATGTGCTTTGCCTTTTCGGCATTTTAACTTTGGAATATTCACATAAATGGTCACTTTCCAAAAATATCTATAACAAAATGAATGTTCCTTCTATGAATGCTAAAGCATTTTGAAATTAATTTCCACCACACAACAATATTAGCAAATTAAAATAAATTATTATATTTCGAATTTCGAACTTATTCATGAGTTTCCAATTTGTTCACGAGATTTGAATTTATTCATGAGTTTCAAACTTGTTCTTTGTGTTGGGACATGAACGTTTGATAATCAAATGTGCTGAAATAAGAACATCATAGTCAGAGCATGAGTTTTGGTGCCAAAAATAGTAATGGATCATAAAGATGAATACAAAAATTAAACAATAAGTATGTACAATGATCATCACTATATAACCGCTATAATTACATCTTTGTACACATCATCAAATGGATATGAGATCACAATATATAGGGTATGCTCCAAGACCTAAATGGATATGCTCCATATGCCAAAAGAATATTTCATGCCTCCGGTCATCCTCTACGAAAAGCTTTGCACCCAACATTCCTCTCATCAAAGCTTTGGAATGGATGAGAAACAACAATGAAAAATCTGAAAACTCTAATAGTCCCCCTTGATGTCACATCAGTCTTCAAAATAATACATGAAGAAAATTCGATATAAGCATGAAAATCCACAAGCATCATGTAATATATCAATATTGTGATTCCCATTGAGGTCCGATCAAGTGTTATCAAAGTTGAACCAATAACACGTGTAGTCAATCACAACAAATAAAGTCCAAAGTAAGCTCATCGGAACACAAATAATACTACACTTGAAGAAAAAATATATAAACTTTCCCGAGCATCACTAAAATCATTATTTTAAAAGGGAAAATGACATAATTGCTCTGCAAAGTTTCTAGGGTTGGTATATTTAGTCCTTAAAGTATTTTTATTGCTTTATGAGGGCATAAACTCATTTTTGTCGGGTGTATTGGGTCCCTTTGGAATAATTGAAGGGGTAAACCGGTTACCCCTTGCCACATAAGCATTTCTTATGACCTCACTTTCCTTGTCAGGTATGAAATTAATACTCTTCCCTTTGTTCTTTAAATACCCAAAAAATTGGAGCTTACAATTGAATTTGTTGACTTTAATTTTGGTAATGGATCTACATCAAGTTCAATCATCACCACACATGGTGTCCCAAATCTTCGAGAAAGCTTCTACAATCACGCCATGGTGAAATCTTGTATTCATTGACAAGAAACACTATAAAAGTTGCTCAAGATTGGTATGTACAAATGTTGACAAGTTTTAGGGTCAAATGTGCTTCATTTTGTAAATGAAAGCACAAAGAACTCTTAATCACAATCTAGTGAAACGAATATGAAATTCAATTTTGGCAAAGTCAAATCCATGAACAAGCCTCGACAATACCTCCACGAGACTAATGTTTAACATGGCGATGATGTTAAGGTCCTGATAATTCAAATCGATGATGAGGGATTCTAGAATCGGTATCGAAAAATAGAGGGATGCGCCATTCTTCTTTCAATAAACCCATAACACTTGTGTTTCCATCACAATAAACCCATAATACTAAAAAGCTTCGATTGTGTGTTCATTACAACAAACCCAAAAAACTCAAAACCTGTAAAAGCATAATAAAAGCTTTCAAGCACCAGAAATTTTTTGATTGTGTGTTCATCGAAGATTCGATTGTGTGTTCATCACAACAAACTTAAAATACAAAAAACTCCAAAGCTTTAATTGTCGGTCATCACATACCGACACACCTCGTAAGCCAGATCTTCGCGTGATTCAGATTGCTTGATCGGGATAACTTTGACGGGGATCAAATATCGTTTGAGGATCGAATACTAACAAACCTAGTAAGCCAAATCTTCCCAAGTGTCGTAACCTACGAAGATCCTAAACAATTTGTCAATTTCTTTTATTCACCATCCCCATTGTCGTTGTTGGTGATGGAAGATTCCACCGACATAGCAATCGAAAACCAAAATTCACAACTGTAAACATGGGAAACTATGGGAAATGGATCTCAATAGAAAAACATAAATTAGGGATGGAAGAGTGTAATACGATAAAAAAAATTTGTTGTTTATCTTTCCTCGGTAAATATGGGATAAAGAGGGTGAGGTGGATTTAGGTTAATTATTTTTAGTTAAAAAAATCCACATTGTACATTGAACCGGTTATTTCAAGTTAAAAGGGACCAAACAAGAAGGTCACATCCACTTTATTCCCTTAAAAAGCATGAAATTAAGTTAAGGGACTGATTCGATCAAAACGCAAAACATTATAGGGCTACATTCTCGTTTTCCATTTTAAAATAGTGCAATCTTCTTTCGAATGATTATACCAAAATCTCCCCCTTTTATGATCGAAATAATATCACATGAGAATGAGATTTGTCTTGTAAAACAATGATATACTCTCCCTTGACAAGTATAGAATAAAAGGTAAGCTTCAAATCCGGAAAAAAAATGCCGAAAATATGACAATTTCTAAGATTTTTGACGTTTCGAATCTGCCTTGGGATTCACATGGAACCAAAAATTTGTATTGTTCATCTCGTGTAAAGCGCCAATAATATGATCTGGATCTGGAATAAATAATACTATGAGTATCTGTATTTGCTGAAAAAAAAATTGAAAAGTCGTTGAAAATATAAGGAACAAAAACTTTGAAGAGCATAAAATTTGGAATATTGTGATATTTAAAAAAGTCACTGTATTCTATGTAACTTATCTATAGATGTATCATACTCCAAATTTAAATGTCAAAAATACATACTTTTTAGGTCCACAATCGTATATATGTGATGTTTTTTAAAAAAATTCTAAATAAAATTTATTACATATAACGTTACATATACTAGTGGGTCCCAATAGAAAAACATATACACTAAAGATATGTAAATATTTAAGTTACAGGGGTAACACCACCAATAAATCGTTTGATAATTCTTGTTGAGGAGAAGGCAATAGAAGGTTCACCGTTTTAGTTTGATATGTAGCTCTATAGACAACATAGGTAAGATTAAAGTTAATAAGATTATGAATCTATTACATGTTAAACTACTCATCACTGCTAGTGTGTGCCCACACGGGACACCACCTTTTTTACCATTTCCTACATCTACAAATATAGCGATCGAGATGTACAAATGCAGTTTACAAAGAATATATCACTTCATATTTGAAGTTATAGACTTGTCTTGCATGTCAGGATTGACACTTGTGCATCCTCCTGCAAAGCATGATGGAAACCGAGTATAATAACTTGTATTTATAGGAAAGGAATATGACATTATCGTCATAGTGTCTAAATTCCATGTGAAATGACAATACACTGACAATTCACTGGTGAAATAACAATACACTGACAATTCACTGGTGAAATCACAACTTTTATCAATATTAAACAAGGTTGTAAAAATCGTTCGACAGTAGCTCAACGGTCAACTGGTGTTAAGGGATTAATCGATGTTGGCGGGGATTAATCGGGGACCATAGATTATTAATAAAATATTAAAATTAATTAAATATTAATATATTTTAAGAAAAACAAGTACTTCAAAATTAGAAAATAAGAAATTTTGTAATTTGAAAATTTGAAAATTTGAAAATACGAAAATATGAATATTTTGGTATAATATTTGAAATTTTAAAAATTTGAAAATTTTGGAGTAAAAAAAAGGTTGGTTTTTTGAATTTTAAATTTTTTTTTTGACTTTTTATTTTTATTTTTTTTTTACTTTTGTTGACCGATTAATCCCGCCAAGACCGATTAATCTCGCAAAACCCGATTAATCATAAATTTCCGTTTAATACCCTAATCATCGACGGTTGGAGAACGCCAAACGATTAATCGCCGATTAATCCCGATTTCTGCAACCTTGATATTAAATATTTGAAATTCGTAGTGAAAGAAAATAATTTCATAGTCAAAGTGACAGTACAAGTCATTAGTGAAATAACAATTCACTGGTGAAATAACAACTTTTAGGAGGTGTTTGGTACAGAGAAATAAAAAACCAGGGAAAAAGAATTGATTCTTTTTCTCTTGTTTGGTTGATATAAAAAATAAAGAATTGAGAAATAAACCAATTCATTTTCCATCAAAACAATTCCATATTAAAAATAGAAAAAATGAGAAAAAAACAACCAACACGTTGGGTCGAGAATAAAAAAAAAAAGCGGAGAATTCAGTTACACCTCCATTCGAACCCCCTTACATGCAAAATTAAACTAGCGCTCCAGAAAAAAAAATCGATCGTGTATGGGATTTCATGCAATCGGCCCTTCTTCTTCGTTTGCTCTACTGTCGTACGCATCATAGACTCACGATCGACTTTTTTGCAATCACAGACTCGCGACTTTTTGCGATCACAGACTCACGATTTCACACTTCTGGGTTGCTCCTGTTTTTCGATTTTGTCACCACTGTCTTCCAATTCAAGGTATGTCTATCAATCTTTCAATCTTTAAACTCAATTCTTGATGTTTCAGTTATGTATTTGTGTTGTTTGAAGGTTAATTG